ACCATCACCACCACCTCCACCACCACCTCCTCCACCACCATGGCCGCCACTAGCCTGTAAAGTTAGGGAGAGGAGGGATTACTTCTCGTTTGTCCCCCACTGTCTGCGCAGGCCTGCACATGGGTGCTTGGTCAATGTCAATATTTGTTGCCTGACTGGAATTTGGGACACGGAAGTCTGAAGAGTCAGCCCGATAGGAAGGCAGGAGGAAAACAAGAAAGGTGTCACAATCAGTCTTGACCATGCCTTCCTCCCTAGTGGGGTCTAGACCCCTTTTCCTTACGTGAGGGACACTTAAGAAGAAAAAGAAAGATGGTGGTGATGATAGTAACAGCTACAGCTCATTGACGAATGAACATGTTAAACACATGTTGTTAAGTGCCTTCAAGTCAATTCTGACTAGCAGTGACCCTGCATAGGTTTCCAAGGCTATGTATTTTGCGGGAGCAGTAAGTCTCATCTTTCTCTGTGAAGCAGGTGGCAGGCTCGGAACGGCGACCTTGAGGTTCACAGTCCAGTATTTATCCTACAGAGCCCACATGTCATCTCAGTTGTTCTCCACGCTAGTCCTAAAACGAGGTCTATAATCGTCTCTATTTTATGGATGAGGAGAAATGAAGAGGTAGAAAGAAGTTAAGGGGCAGAGCTGGGACCTGGTATACGTCTGAAGCTTAAGTCTGTTTCACCAAAAAGTGGTTTGAACTTCAAGGTCGTCGGTTCAAACTCACCAGCTGCTTCTCGGAAACCCTATACAGGGTCACTATTATTTGGAACTTACTTGATGGCACTTAACAACAACATCACCATTTATTTTCAACTTGTAAAATAAGGTCACTTCTCCACAGCTGAGTAGGCTCTTGGGACCAGTCCTGAACCTCCCACCTTTGAGTCCTGGCCCAGGCTCCCCACAAAGCAGTTTCTTTGACTCAGTGCGTTAGTTGCTGACAGGCGAAAGAAGTACAGGCCTGGCCCAGGCCCAGGAATGGGGCCTGGAGGGAAGGCAGACTGAGTAGGTGTGCGCCTTGGCATGAGGAAACCATTCTAAGCACAGGTTCCCCTCCCAAGTACAAGTTCAAAGTCGAAGAGTGCAGGACAATGGGCATTTTGCTCACTCCTGAACCCTCAGTGCTTGATACACAGGAGGCACTTGTTGAGTGTTTACTGAACGAATGAATGTTAGGTTTTCCCCATCATCCAGAAGAGGGCAGGAAACTAGATATAGCATATCTGAATAGAACATTCTGGAGGCACAGCCCATGGTGGGGAGCAGCTAGGTGCCCCTCCAGGGAGAGAATAAGGGAAAACAGTGAGTCACCACATCACTCAACAACAGATGGGATACCTGCCATCTTAGCAAGAACAACTGGTGAGAGGGGAGCCCCCCCCCACACACCCCGCCACTTCCCGCCTCAGGCAGGACAGGTTGTCCCTGCAGAGGGAATGCACTGCCTGATCATCAGGGCCTTGAATTCCAGCCAGAGCACACTTGAGCAGTCCTGCCAAGTTTACCATCCCCTTTACCTACCTAGTGGGGTATGCCCTGCAACAGAGGGGTGAGCAGACCAGGCCCTGGTAAGAGCTTCCCCCTAACCTTCAACCTCTCAGCACACAGCACTCACCTGGTCTGGGTGGGCACGGGGAGCATGAGGTCACCCCCCAGAAGGCTCCCACGCTGCCACAGCAATCTTCTTGGGTGGTCAGCTCCCACAGGGGGTTGGCACACTAGAAAAGAGGCCATGGGCACGTTGACCCTCTTTCCGTCCATTGCTATGCCAGGTGCTCCAGGAAAGCCCAAGACACAGAAAACCCTGCCATGTTCCACTGGAGGAGGCCCCCACCCAAGGAAGGGGGTAGGGGAGACAGCCCAGGGCACAAGGGGCAGCAGAGAAACCTGCAGTCTACTCCATCAGACCCTATAAGCCTTGATGACTGAGGGTCCCACACCCCAGACACAAGACCTGCCCTGTGCTGCTCTGAAAACCTCCATGTCTCCAGTCCACAGCAAATGGGTCTCAAACGTCTTGCTTTCTTCCATCAAACTCAGTGTCACCAACAGCAGAGCCCAGGCTCAGGGACACATAAGCCGAGGAGTGGAAAGATTACTTCCTGCCTTTACCAGTCCCCTAACCTCAGGAGAGGGTTTTGATCATACCAAATGGCAACCCCTAGACAGGCTACCCTGAGCCGGGCCTGGCCCCTACTCTTAGGTGCCTGGGCTCAGAGAAGCTCCCCTGGTTTCCCATTGCTGACAGTGGATGGCTCCAGGGTGGAGCGGGGGTTCTCTCATCTTTGTAGCCCAATGGATAGGGGAGCGTTCAACTTGAGTTTTCGGATTCTACATCTTTGCAACCTCCATCTCAATTGGATACCAAACTCCACATGGCTTTTTGCCCATGTGCCAGGCATTCTCAGCTCAGTTCTCAGAGTACCCAGGACTTCCTGGGACCAGACTGTCTAGGCTGCCTTCACTCGAGGACTCCCCTGCAACAGTGCACAACAGATAGGGGTCCAGCCTCTCCCCACTCAGGCAATGTTATGCCTTGAATTTTCCCATCTGGGACGTGGAAACCTCTGTAGACACAGGAAACGAGAAGGAGAGGAAATGGAGGGCAGAGTTGGGACTAGGTCTGTCTGGAAGTTTCCAAGGCTGAGGCAGGAGCTGAGTTCTTACCTGCCTATTCACAGCGCTCAGGTAACATCGGCCCAGCAGTCCGTGAGGTCTGGGTACCGCGGGGGGCAGTGGCCGAGGGGACTCTCCAGAGCGAGTGGGGATGCTATTGCTGTCCCAGTGGTTGTGGCCCGGGCTGACAGGGAGCCGGGACGAGGGTCTGGTCTCCACGCTGTTCTCCTCTCGGGCCTCCACAGCCTCGCCCCGCACCCGCGCCACCTGGTGGATCTGCACCGAGGCCTCGGGAGGGTGGTGGATGTGCACCTTCACCAAGGAGGGGTTCACGAAGGCTAGGCAGAGGGGTTGGAGTCAGAGTTGGGGTACACAGGGCCCCACCCTCACTATCCCTCTCTGGAAGAGTGTCTGCTAACCCTGAACAAGGTGGGGCACTGCCTGGGTGTCTCCCGAAGACTGCTTGCTTTTCTTCACTCCCTACTCAGAACTCAGGAACCATTCAACTGGATGAAGTTCAAATCCCTTCACTCAGACCCCTCAACCAAGGACCTTCATCATCAAGTCCCAAACTACCTTCCTGAATTCATCTCCCCAGAGAACCTATCCCAAGCCTGAGCGCTGGCCAAACCAATCCCTCTGGAGTCACTTGGGTTGGTGTCACCAGTGCGGTTAACTCACCGTGTCACCCCATGGACCTCCTCCCTACCAGACCATACAGAACCCTTAGTAAATGTTTATTATCCATTTTAATCATAGAATAATATGTGATAAACATCGTTGTAAGTTGCTTAAATGTGATATTTCTTCGATCATATGAATAATAACAAAATTATTTTACAAAACTTTTCCACATTGAATCACAACATGATTAATTACATTATAAGTTGCTGAGTAGAAGTCTCTTTGGATTTTTCTCCTTTTTAAAAAATTATACATCATTCTCAAAAAAGGCTTTCAAATACTAATTACCACAATATTAGCTAAAACATAAGAAAACTTGACAAAATCAGTGACTATAAAAATACTGACAGCATCAAAAACGTCATCACTTGCTTCTCACATGACCTGTGAAGACAAAACCATGTGACTCGACATTGTAACAGGGTAATAATGATAGATCTGACTGAATTTGGTGTTAACTGCTGTCAGGTCAATTCTGACTCATAGAGATGCTGTATAGGGTTTCCAAGGAGCAGCTGGTGGGTTTGAACCCCCAACTTTGTGGTTAATAGTCAAGTGCTTATCCTACAGCACCACACCAGGACTCCAGACCAGAGTGCCTTAGAAGATTCAAAGAACCAATCAGCATAGAGTTTTAGCCTTGCAGGTACCTTGAGATATGAAAGTTGGGCATATGAAAAAATATTTAAGTTGTTGTAACTAACCCCAAGGATGTTTTTATTTAAAAAATAGTAATGCTAAATTCTGCTAAAACACTGCACAAATATTTTATAGACTCATTTTGGTGTCACTTCCTCTGACAGTGTCACCCAGTGTGGCCCACACTTCCCCTAGAGATGCCATTGTGGTCTTACCTTCACGCCTTTGTTAGGGCCAGTGCCTCTGTCAGGGAACCTCTGCTTGACCAAGTTCCCCTGATCATTTAAGGCACATTTGGGGAACCTTTTTTCAGTCAAAGTTTGCAATATCACTCACAGGCTATATAAAATTATCAACTTCAAAATTAGCCTGCTATATTTGGTCAAGCATTTAATTAACTCACACTGCTAACCAGCACTGGACTGCTAACCACAAGGTTGGGGATTCAAACCCACCAGCTGTTCCTTGGAAACCCTATACAAGGTCGCTATGAGTCAGAACTGACTCGATGGCACTTAACCACAACAACAATGCGATGACTGGAGTCCTGGTGTGGTGCTGTAGGATAAGCACTTGACTATAAGGTCAGTTTAAACCTTACAAGGTTGGCAGTTTAAACTCACCAGCAGCTCCTCAGAAACCCTATACAGGTTCCCTGAGTTGAAACTGACTCGACGGCACTAAACAACAACAACAACACAATGTGATGGTTAGAACTTTGGTTGCCTTGGCAGGATCAGACCAGATGATTTTGAGGGCCGGATGTTCCCCACCCCTAGTTTAAGGTCTCACTTGAAGTCCATCTCCCCACATGGCCTTCTCTGAGCACTTGGGCTCAGAGAAATAAATCTCTACCTCCTGACTCCCCAGTAGCAGGTTTGGTTTTTGTCCCCTGTCTTTTGCACCTAATAATGCAAGGCAGGAGAGCTGGAACGCTTCTGTTGGTATTCTATTTCCTACCCATCTATTTCCTACTTTGCACGGTGGGCTCCTGAGGGCAGCACCCTGCCCTTATCTTGTTTCATCTCCCCACAGCTCCTAACACAGGGTAAGGGCAGAAAGTACTGATGAATTTGGATAGGAGAAAGAGAAGCAGGAAAGAGTCTGAGTGTAGAGAAGGAGGGAGGGAGGTTTGGGCTATAAGACCAGAAATGGCTTCCCTGTCTCCCTCCACCTGGACGCCAGCATCCACCAGCCCTGGGCTGACACTCACCGAGCTGGTTGGAGAGAGGTAATGTGATGGTGGACTGCTTCAGGGGACTCTCCAACAGGGCTCTGTGGTTCAAGACCTCCTCTGGAGGTTTTCTGTCCAGTATGGGGGCAGACAGGTGGCAGAACTTCCCGGTGGAGCTGGCCGGGCACCAGCACTCATCCCTGCCGATGCAGCGGCCTCCGTTCAGGCAGGGGATCTGGCAGAAATCTACAACACCAACCCTCAAGGTGACTGGCGGTGGAAGAACCTAACAGTACCCACCACATGGCTGGCAGATGACAACAGAGAAGCAGGAGAGCCGGACCCCAAATCTGGTGGCTTGGGAAGCAAGACAAATTGGTGTGACAAATGAAGCTAATAACCAGCCTTTGCCTTTCTAAAAAGTCCTTTCCCACTTTCCCACAATAACCTGGGAGTTAGAGGGCAGGTGGCATATTATTAACTTCCCTGTTTCTCTATGGAGGAAACTTGAGCTCAGAGAGATTATGTACCTTGCCCAGGGCCACACAGCCAGGTGATGGCAGAGCTGAGTGAGGATTTAGCTCCTCCTCTGACTTGGGACAACTCATGAGAAGCAACTTAAGAGCAGTGGGCGTCCTTCCTACAGAGGGCTGGGTTTCAGTCCAAGGCACTCACAGATGCGGAAGCCAGACTTGGGGTCATGCCCAGGACCACCCTGGCTGTAGAGGGTGGTGGTGTTGCCGCGCTCACAGCTGTTGGTGCAGTGCCCGCGGGCACAGGTCTGCTTGCAGATGGTGGGAGTGAAGACGATCTTGATCTTCTTGATTTTCTCCGTGAGGTTCAGCCCTGCAGAGAGAGGGCTTGGGTCCAGGAGGCAGGGCTGAGAGGCCTAACCATGACCTCCAGAACCAGGGCCCACAAGACTGGGGCCTTTGAGACGCTCACATTCCAGCAATTATTGAGGCCCACCAATATGCCAACCACACACTGAACTCATGCTTCATGTACATAAAGTTAACTTTCAACCCTCTTGAGTTGGTATTACTTTAGCTTGAGCCATTGATCGGCAATTTTCACATGATCCATGGAATGCTTCCATTTTTCAGCTAAAGAAACTGAGGCTGACAGAAGTGAAGTGGCTTGCCTTAAGTCACAGAGCTAGCAAGTTCTGCAGCTGGGTTTTAAAGTTAAGGGCAGAGAACAGAACGTTGTTCAGGCTTGCCAGAGTGGAGAGTTTTCTAAGAGAGGTAGGGAAAGAGAAAGTCAGAAAGGATTACTGGGGGGCGGGGGCAGCCTAATGTCAGGGCCAGGGTCAGACATCTTGTTTGATAGTGGGAAAGTCATTGAAATTTTTTTGGCAAGAGATCAAAGAGGAACTGAAGGAGGATGAATTTCCATCCTGGCTGTGGTGTGGAGGGTGGATCGTGGTAACCAGTTGGAAGGTCGTTACAGCAGTGCAAACTGAGGTGACTTTGTTTAATGAGAGTGGTGGCAGTGGAAACACAAAGGAGACACATTCATTCCACATGAAGAGTCAAAGGCAGGAAGCCAGAAGGAGAGTATTGAGGAGAGAACGGGAGGTGAGGAAGTGGAGAAAGGACATGTGACCCATGTACAAGAAGCTTGAAGGGATGAGAGAGGGGAAGCCAGAGGGAAGCAGGAAGTGTGTGGGTTTCATGGGAGAGTTGCAAATACCTGCATATGCTGAAGAGAAGGGACTGATAGAGAGGAACAGGTTAAAGATGCCGAAGGGAGAGAACAAGCAAGAGGCAAAGGAGGAGTGTAGGCATGCCACGGTAGCTCTGTAGGATAAGCACTGGACTGCAGACCACAAGGTCAGTGGTTTGAGTCCACCAGCCGCTCCATGGGAGAAAGATGAGACTTTCTGCTCCTGCAAAAATTTATAGCCTCAGAAACCCTATATAGGACCACAGTGAATCGTAACTGACTCAGTAGCACTCTTAACAACAACAGGAATGAGCCTTAGACAATGGGAGGGACACCTCCTTTTCAAGACTGCAAGAAAGGAGGTCCGCTGGATTGCAGGTTTAGGGAAGAGTGTGGTGTGAATTGGTAGGGAGATGGGTAGGATGTTGAGGAGCTCTCTGGATGGCGAGAGATAGGCCTATGTGTCTATATAATGTGGGAGGCAGTAGATGAGAGACTAGGGAAAGTGGGGAAGCCTTGAGCAGCTATTCTGAGGAATGGGAGAGTGTCCAGGGGAAAGGTTGTCCGGCAACAACAGAGGAGAGATGCAGCGGGGACACCAAGAACCTGCCATGACCTGACTCCACATAGATGCTTGGTTTGCTCTTGTAGAAAGTAGAGGCCAGGTGTAGATGCTAAATTGGGTAGGCAGGTCCAGGAGCCTGGGATTTGCAGGGAGGATGAATTGGAAGAACGAGGATACAGGAGTTAACGTTCGTGGAAACAAAGGCAGGAAGGATGACAGCTTGGGAGGAAATGGAACAGTCAAGGTTGAACAGTCTCCACAAGGGCAAAGTCCAGATCAGCTTGGTTTTCTATCTCTGGAACCTGGCACAAAGAAAGTGCCCAACAACTGTTTATTGAGTGGCTGAAAGAATGGGGAAGGAGGTGAGAGTGGAGGGGTCCCCAAGAGAGGGAATCCTTACCCCAGGGGGATGAAACATGGCCAAGATGTGCTGCCTGCTGGGCGCCATGCCTTTGCTCAGGGCCTGGTCCCACAGGCAGGGCATTGGAAGTCAGCTGGCCAGTGGCAGCGGCAGCCGGGTAACGTCGGACGGTCCGGGACAGCCCCACTTGCTGCTGGGAGGGCTGGGTCTGGCTGAATCCACTCAGTGTCCTGTGGAAGACAACCAGATCACATGGGTTTGCATCCAGGGTACAGCTTCTCTGCCTTCATCAGCCAGGAAGGTTCTCTCTGCTTGGCCAGCGATTCCTGGACATCAGGTACCCTAATGCAGGAGATGGATCCAAATGCCACCAGTGACCCCTCTGTAGAATAGCTGAACTCTTGCTGGATTCTTCTGGGCAAATCGCTTAGCCTCACTGGCCCTTAGATGAAGATGTTAGACTGTTCCCATCTAGCTCTGACATGACAAGTCTTTCAGAACCCACTTATGAACCAATCCCTGCCCTAAAACTGAGTCCTATTTAGAAGCTTCAGTGAGATTCTAAATTTCTTCTGCCACTTAATTCAGTCTTTAATACAATCACCTAAGGAATTGGTCCCCAGCAAGTACACATTCATGGATTGATTTAGGGTGGAGACCAGAATTTCCCTCTTATTAATTTGTAATTAGTATTTAATTGTAAAAGTACTACAACAATATTTAAGGAGAAAAAAACCCTAATTTATCATCTAGTCCACCCCAACTCAACAAATAGTTTTACATGTTTCCTTTGACCTTTGCTCACTTATATGTTTTTACATGGGTGTCATCACTTACACATACAACTTAAATTCTGGTTTTTCAATTAACATTAGCTCAGACTGTACACAATTCTGCCTTTTCATGTTTATTATTTTCATTGCTATGAAATAGTCTATCTGAGGTGAAGCACAGCTTTTTCAGACATTGTCCTGCTACATATTGAGTTAAGTTTCCATTTTTAATCTATGGTCTTCCTTGTCCATATGACTTTTTTTTCCTGATGTTCAAATAGTGCTTTATATTCATGCACTCATCTACTTCTTCATTACACTATTAACCAAGTCATACTATTCTGTTTTATTCTGTATGCTTGAAAACGTCATAAGAAATGTTTTGAAAAGGGTTACAACTTCAGGGTTAGAATGGCTGTGTCAAAGATTCTAAACATGTATGGCTCTAAGTGTTATTATTGGTAAGTGTTATCAAGTCAACCCCTGACTCATGGTGATGCCATGCACAATGGAATGAAATGGTGCTCAGTTCTGTGCCATCCCCGTGACTGGTTGTAGATCAGTGTACTGTTTTCTAGAAGGGCTGCACCAAAATGTACAAATGTACCCTTAGAGCACACCCTTTGCCAGCATGGAGTATTATGAATTCCTTTCTACGATGCTAATTGAATAGTATAAAATGGTACTTTGATGTTGCTTTCCTGTCTACTTCTGAGGTAGAACATTTTTTTACACATCTATTTACCACTTAGATGTGTAATAAATAAATAATAGATGTGTTAAAAAAAAAAAAAAAAAAA